ATTTATTGAAAACTCGCATTGGAAATCCATCGGGTCCCGAAGCACAATCACCCCTAACTCTTTGATTGCTTTCAATATCTCGTTTTCAGAAAATCTGCCTCCAACTCACAAACTTGGTGCCCCTGCAGTTCAGCGAACTGGATTCCATCTAACATGGGCATAACCATGTAATCAATCCAGTAGAATATAAGTCCTCGTAAAATTCAATGACATGGTTCTCGATGGTATCAGGATCAGAGCTCATAGTCCCACCAATTAACAACTTGTTGATATTATTCTGTCGAACCCTCATATTCGCAAATTTGTGATAGTAGTTTGTATTTGATTCACCCTTGACTCTCCACCTGATTCTCAATTTTTTTCATTTTTGTTTTGTAATTCGCCAAGTTCCGCCTTGAAGACCAATCTATAGGCAATGTCGTCTTCTGACAGGTCACCCACTTCTTATCAATTTCATCAATCCCGATCACTTTTGCTCAAATCAATTTATCCACTCTACCAGATTACTATACCATCAGCTTCTCTTTCAAGAGCTTCATTCTGGACCACCATGAGTAGCTAGGGGAGCCACTCACAGTAAAAGACTTTTAACATTCATCAATCATCTTAACAAATGCTCGCACTCGAACCACATAAACTTGAAACTCTCGGTGAGCAGACAGAAACAATAACTCTATGATCAGAAGAAAATCTCGACAACGCCAATTACCCAACATCGGGAAACTGTCAGTCCCAGTCAATAGATGATAAGAATCTATCAATCCTGCTAGCAATCAAACTGTTAGCCCACGTGTAGAGACCCCCTTCCAAATGGTAATCCACTAGATTGTTTCGGTCGACAAAAGAATCGAATTACATCATGAAATGATTCAAGCTCGGTCTTCCCTTTCGTTCACGTGAGAACCTATTCAAGTAAAAGTCTCCTCCCAAGCACCAAGGAAGAGAAGACCACACCCCGATATTCAATAAACTCATCTCTATTGACATCCACTGAAGGTCCGTATACTGTAGTCATAACCCAATCAAATTCATTCTCTTTCAGTTTACAGATAGCTAAAATGGAGTAGAGATGTATCCCAAGACAAGAATCCTACCTGATCTACCTGTTTATGGCAATCTCAAAACCCTCTATGGGTCCCTCCACAGTAGTGAAAAAATTGGATCGTTGAGGTCACACAATTACATTTCCTGAATCATCATTACATTCGGCCTCTGGTCCCTCATCAAATTTCTAACATGGTCTGCAGCTTCATCATTACCTAAACACCGTACATTCCACCAAATGCATTTTAATCGCCATGATCACTATTGGATTCCCCTAGTTTCACAGCCTCCCGCGTCTATAGAATTCCCCTTGCACCCCCTATGTCATCTTATGGTTTATTCATCTCATAAAGTGAGTACTTAAATGGGTGATTACTTGAGTAATCACTCTGACATACAAGTTATTGGTTGAGTAATCACTCTGACAGATTGAATGGGCACTTGAGTAATCATGCTGACAGATGGGCGATTACTTGAGAAATCACTTTGACATAAAGGCGACTTAAGTAATCACTTTGACAAATGGTTGATTACTCAAGTTTATGTTAAAGTGATTACTTCAGTAAGCACTATGACAGCTGAGGTGATTACTTGAGTAATCAATACAAAGAATGGGTGATTACCTGAATAATCACTCCGATAATTCATAATGTAGGATATCCTAACTACACCAAATGGTTTCTGATGCATTCTAGGGTTTAGATACCTTAATTTGTGTCAAAAGTCTTGCTATATGTTTTTAGAATTATTAGGGATTTTTTGGATTAGGTTTATTTTATGTTTTTAGGTGTTTTAGGGTATTTCTATTTTAGGGTTATTTTAATTCCGAATTATGGTTTCTATTTTCATTAGAATTGTTAGAGGTTTAGGTTTCCTTACTTTCCAAGGATTGTTTTTACTATTTAAAGAGTTGTAGGCCTTTGGCCAAGGGAGTGTTGATTGGTTAATAGAATTGTGTTTGTTTTGAGAAGAGTCTTCTCTTTGTGTGAGTTCTTGGTTAAGAACATTGGTTGTCGAATCCCAAAAATCGTCGTAGTTCTTTGAATTCGGTTCAAAGTTCATATCTTTATTGCACGAGTGCATCAGTTTCTTATTTGGGTTAATGTTTATTTAAAATTTATTATAAATTTAAGATTTTTACTTTGAGTTTTTTGTTATAAGAAATCCTAGTACTAGTTGGTATAAAGAGACATGTTTTGAAATTAGTTTATTCAATCAATACAATTCAAGATTTGTCTGCAATTTATCTTTTAGTTTTATTCAAATTTTCTCCAAGTTCTTCCTTGTTTCAAGACAATTCCCCCTTTGATTTTAAATCGCTTCTGCTACGTCAATACATTGCATTAAGATGTTTGTTTTTTCGGTTATTATATCTTCTGATAGCTTATAATCTGCTAGAAAACCCAAAATCATGTTTGTATTTAGTAGTTATGGGTTTCTAAGATTTTCTAGTAGAAAATGGCTAAAAATGTGGCGGCTACTAACCTCAATACCAAGCTTATTGCTACTAGCTTACAACTTATGAGCTATTAACTTTTAGATAAAAAAAAACAAACAACTCCTAAGAGTACATAATTTGAGTGATCACCAAATTGTGGATGCTCATATGTCGAGGCTTTTGTATAATCGACAATTGCAAAGGGATTTGTGAATGCAAAAAGGTATATTGTCAAGGGGGTTAATTAAACTCAAAACCATAGTTTTACTAATCATTACTTTCTAAGGAATCAACAAAATAGTTATTTTCTAAGACATAGTTTGACTACATCATGGGGAGAATGCAGATTCATAAGCCAAGTAGGATAGAAGTATAGATTGTGGCTAAGAGCACACACCAGTATGAACAGACAGAAAGAAAAGCGGGAGAAAATTCTCCTAGGACCCAGTT